ACTGTGGTGACATCGCTGCCCAAGAGAGCTCACCAAGTTTGCTGTGGGTGGGAGATGAGACATAGAAGGCAGATAAAGCAAATGGAGAGTGGGAGTTTAGTGAGACTAGAGAACATGAAGAGTGCTTAGCAAGCACACAGGATCTGTGCCTGCCATTTGCCTAGGCCTCCACTTCTGAAGAGGCACTGGCTCTCAGCTCCTGGAAGTTACTTTTGGTTGGAGAGCTCTCATCCAAACCATCAGTGTCAGTGAGCCCTCTGTTACACTGAGCAGTGACCTGTCACAGAACCGTAGGAACATCTCAGAGAAAGATCTCCATCAGGACCAGTCTGTACATGGGGAGAGCCTCAGATACCAGGAAATCATCCCTGATTTATTTTCTGGGATTTATCCATTATGAATTGAAGGCCACACAACCATTTGGCTCCAAACACGACCCCTTGCAAGCAGAACAGATAGCTATAGTAACAGGAAAAAACCCTAAGCACAACTGGACCAGCTGACAGCCTCTACAGAGGTGGAAGAGGGGGACTGGCCATGAACACTCCTTCTGCCTGCAGCATCGATGACAAAGTTTACTATTGTTCATGGAATGCAGCCAAAATGCTTGCTGTTGTGCCCAATTGGAGAAAACCAGCCTTGCAGAGTTTGCAATAGTTGACCAAAGCATTCCCTGTGTGTCCCTTTCTGTTGCACATGTGTGGCTGTGCACAGACCTGCTTCCCTGCCTGCAAGCTGACAGGTACAGCTCTGTGACGAAAGTCCAACTCGTGCAGTGGGCAGATGTCTGGTAATCACTACTATTCCTAGTGCTGCCACTGATGCTGCCTGTGCCTAGGACTGGCACGTAGGCCAAAACTATTAAAATTGGCTCTCTTCATCCCAAGTGAGGTGGTTAGGAGCTGCAGAGAGTGAGCTCCCCTGGAACAGTAGAGGAGCTAATAACTGCACTTAAAAGCAGCAGTATTGATTGAGAGCAGGGCCTGTAATCTCTCTGCTTTCTGCCCATATAAAGGGAACTGTGCTCCTCTCCTACCTTGCAAGATGATGACTTTCTGTGCACTTTAACCTTCATCAAGCAATGTTTACAAAGTACTTCTAAAGATGCCAACTGGCAAATACTATGGAAAAATACCCCATTTTTTTCCCAGGTACCTGATGCTGCGTGCTCTCGCCTGTGTGCGGCCGGCTGTTTATCGGCCGGGATCCCCGTGATGGGCGTCTCTGCACCTACCCCTCTGAGTGCACAGCCTGCATTCATGTCTCTGTTTTCTCTGGCATCCTCCAGTATTTCCCTTGGAACTAATGGCCAATAATATAGTTTCTCCCCAGACATCCCCCTCTGCCACAGCGCTCCCATGAAGAGGATTATCATTCTCATACTTGTGAGCCTCATGCTGTCCCACTGTCTCTTTCAGGCTGTTGTCCCCTGGGGAGAGGGTCACAAAACTCACAAAGCACAGAGATTTGCAATTAGATCTGCTCTGTATTTTTTCTTTCTGCCTTGAAAAATACAACAGAGAAACTGGAAATTCTGTAGAAATTGTCCAAGTAGCTTTAAGAAAGCTCTGTGCTACTCTCAGCCCAAAATATGGAAGCTTTGGAAAGAAATATTTAGATGAATCTCCTCCAAAAGTTTTCAGAAGAAAGTAGTTATTACTTGTAAAAATAAATGCGTAATAGAAAGCAAAGAATTTCCATCGAAAACTAATTTCAGTGGAAATTTTTCAGGTAGCTTCAGTGAGCTGTGGAGCTGAGCATGCCCTCTGGTGCCAGAGCCAGGTTTTACAGGCCCTGGGACCTGCCAGCTCCCTACAGAAAAAAAAAAAAAAAAAAAAAAAAAAAAAAAAAAAAGATCAAGTTTAAAAAGAATTAAAAAAAAAAATCCTACGCTTGTGGTGATATTGACTCTTCTTTCTGTAATTCATACGAAAATTAAAAATAACAATAGCATTGAGAGTAAATATTTGTGTGTGTGTGCACACTCTTTGAGTAAGAATATAGTCTCTAACTTACAAAACATAACAGGGTGCCTCACTCAGCCCCTGGAGTGATCTGTATCGCTGTGCCACGTTTACACAAAAGGAAGCAGAAAGGGGATTTGCCTGAGGTCAGACTGAAGTCAGCAGAGTCTTTGCAGGGGAAGAGGCTGTCCCCTGTGGAAAGCCAAAACATCCGGAATTGGGACACAGGAGCCGGGCTCCAACGCCAGTTCAGCCGGTGCTGTTGTGACTGGACTGTATTTTTTCAAGTCCTTATTTCCCTACCCTCAAAAAGAGGGCAATAATGATGCATCCCCATCTTGGGAAAGTGCTGCATACAGGTGGGTGCTATTTTCCCGCAGACATGCTAGCTCCACAACAATGCTTGCAAGATGAATTTGGTGTCTGACTGCCAGATCCAGGATTCTTCTGTTTGGCACAATACAGAGAAAAAAAGGCAGCAATCCCCACTCTCAGAAGGGAACAATTTCACAGTGACCATAAAGACACCAGCTCTAGCCTGATGACAAAAATCACTTTGATGAGCCTTCAGGTACATTCTGTGACTTCACTTAGGGCTCTGTTTACCAAAAGAGAGTAATTTAATCTCCCCAGCAATCCCACATAACCCCCACAGCTGTCTGGGGAACCTGCTGCAGGGAAAACAGAGTTGCTTGTGAATCAGCTCCCGAGCTGCAGCAGTTTACAGGACTAAACTTTAAGACAAAGCAAAAGCAGAAATGGTCCCATATTGGAAAGCTGTGCATGCATTGTGGCAGCTCAGAAAAAGAGTCACAGACGTGTTCATACTCCAGCAATGCAGTGGTTAGCTGGCAACAGCTATGGCACCAGCATCCCAAGCAAAGCCATCCTCCTGCATTAATGGAAGTGCTGGGTCTCTGAAGGCTCCTGATTTGTTTAAGCCTCTTGTTATTTGAGACTCCAGGCTTGCATTTGTAGCTGCTGGACTAGGCAGAATACTCTGTAAGGGCCAAATCCATATAGGAGCTGGATTTCTCTAACTTTAGCTGTCATCATAATGACTCCCACAAACTCATTGATTAAGCTGCCTAAGTGAAAGCTTGGTGTCCAGCTTTCATCATCCAGTAACCTTTTGGCCACATTTGTGGATCTACTAAGCTGACAGAACTTTGAAACAAGAATCACAGTTTTTCATTGCGCAGTGTAAGGGTTTCCTAGATCCAGTGACTCCACAACGGAGAGCGGTGGCTGCCCTGCCTGTAGTATCATGTCCCAAACAAGGGAACATGCCACTGCACTAATCCATACAAGAAAAGACCATGTAAAAGCTTTCTATTTTCATTGCCTGATCATCTGGGACACAGAGCTCCATATGTTGTAAACTGCCCCATTTCACGCTCCAGGTAAAGGAACGTGGGGGCAGCTCAAAAGGAGGATGTGTTTTCATTCAACAAGAGCTCCTGACTTGATTCATTTGTTTCCACATAAGCAACTGGGAACAGATGTCTCAGCCTCCTTGTACCAGTCACTCTTTTAACAAAAGCTCTGTCTTGTTTGTACAACGTCCTCGTTCTCTCACCCTTAACTCATCATTACACAGAGATAAACTATCAATGTCCAGCCTTGTGACGCTGCAGAGAGGAGGGCTGACTCTTCAGGAACAAGGAAGAAAACACATGAAAGGGGTCAAATCTCAAACCTTGCACCACTTGGTATGGGTACCACTCTGCTGCAACAAGATCATGTGCTTTTAAACCAACTGAGAGGGGGCAGCACCTAAATATAGGCTTTAAAAACATATTCCCAGGATCTGACCTTTTGCTGGCCTCCTTTCCCCAAGAGGTGAGATACCTCTATTCTGCCTCAGACAGTAACATTTAGGAAATCTTGAACCCCTACGCACTGCTTTAGAGTCCTTACCAGCTCTCCAGACTTTGACTTTTATCTTCTTCCAGTATCTTTTAGCTTCTACCTTCCACAGCAAGAAATACAGGCTTTGCAAAGGAGCCACTTAACCACAGTCAGTTTACTGTTAGAACCCACAAGAATTGCATGCTTTAAGGTATCAAAGAAAAAAAATTCCCCAAAAGTACTTTCCTACCCCAAGCCAGCCCCTTCTTACTTCCTTCCTTCCTTCCTTCCTCTCTCTTTCTCTCTTTCTCTCTTTCTTTCTCTCTTTCTCTCTTTCTTTCTCTCTTTCTCTCTTTCTTTCTCTCTTTCTCATCATAGCTTGTTGCAGATATATCCAAATCTTTTGTAGTTCTTGCCTTTGCTGGGGGTTTATTACCTGCTGATGACACCATAGGTGAATTGAAAACTATCACTCCCTTTTAAAATTCTTTTTCCACCATTTGGATCAAGCAACAGGATGATCTATAGCTTGCAGTTAGGTTAAGGGCAACCAGGTGATTTATCCCTTGTAAATACCTGTTTCTTTCTATTGATAAAAAATGTGCATGAATAATTAAAGTTAGGTGTGATGGTTCCCACTCCTTGTCTTGGTATGTTTCAGTGACTGATGTTTTGAAGAAATACTGTCCCTGGTTTCAGAAACAAAAACGTCCCATCTACTCTAGCATCTTGTCTGACAGTAACTAGCCAAAAGTGTTCAGAGGAGATATAAAGCCTAGCTACGACAATCCTTTGAACACCAACCCAAAGAGAAGATCTCTCTCTAATCCCCTCTGAAGCTTATCTGTGCCCTGAAGGAAGAGAATTTAATATTTCTTGCAAAATCCCTGGCTCTGGGTAATCTACATTATTGTAACTCTGGACAAGTTTGTTTTCCACAAAAATACCCAGTATTTTTCTAACCTTGCTGAGCTCTTGATCACCACAATTATCTTGTGCCTATTAATATCATGAGGTGACTGTGAGGGGAAGCTGGGTGCTTTCAACATTTTTGAAACACGCAACTTTGACTCTTTCCCAGGCTTTCTAGATAAACCCCATGGGGAGGCAGCAGCACATTTGACACAGACAGGTCTGTCAGCTTAGCAATTGTACCAGTTCATGTGGTTTCTCCTGTCTCCCCAGGGCATGAATCCTCAGCTCCGGATTAATGGGCCAATGAACATCAACCACTACGCGACAAAGAAGAGCGTGGCAGAGAGCATGCTGGACGTGGCGTTGTTCATGGCGAATGTCACGCAGCTTAAAGCAGTGCTGGAGCAGGGGACTTCCTTCCAGTACTACACCACCCTCATCGTGCTCATCAGCATCTCTCTCTTCTTCCAGGTGATGATCGGGATTCTCCTCATCATCACTGGTAAGGCAACCGCTAAGGCACACCCACCCTTGCAGGATGCTAAAGGGGCAGGGCATCCGGTGGCTTGGCTGGCAAAGGGGTGGAAAAAAGAAGCCTCTTCTCCTAAATCATCCCCCCTGGCTCCAACCAGGGCTGCGGGAGGGTTGAAGACAGCTTGATGTGGACAGTGGGGAGGTCTGTGTTACCATTTTTCAAAGTGGGGAGTTGGTTGGGTTTTTCTCAGCTATGAGCACTACTCTTCCTTCACTTCCCCACTGATGAAGCCCTGTTGCAGGGAGAGAGCTGGGTTTTGGGCCTCTTGCTGCCCATCCTCTAACGTGCCCCTTCATGCAGCTCTTGCAAATACTACATTTTAGCTGTATCTTTCACCTCACTCAAGCTGGGGCCTAACAGAACAATTTAGGTGCGGGAGAGCTGAGCACGCTCATGACCAATGTGATCAAGCAATGCCCGTTTATTACAACTAATTCAGCCCTTTTATAATGTTCTCCCGCACATGTGAGTAACATGCAGTGCAAGTCCTCAAGATTGGACAGTTGACTTAGCCTGCGCTTTAAACCTCCTTATGATTGGATAAAAGTGCCACATCAGCCTTGCCAGGCTTCCTGCCTTGTGGAACTTCCTCTTCCATCCCAACCCCTTCCAGGGGTTGTTTGTCTTGTCAAGTTTCTCCCCCCTCATTCAGGGTCACATCCTTATCACATTCTTGCTCGGCTGAGGCTCTTATCACTCTTGTTCTCACACAGGATTGCTCACATGTCCATTCTCTCGCAGAAAGCCCTCTAGAATCCCAACATTTAGGTGGAGGTATTCCCTATATTAACCTTGCATTTAACCAATCCCACAGTTCTCCTAGTGCCATACAGACAGTACGTTAACACCAGCATTTCAAACAGGCTTGCCCAGTGTTCCATCTGATACAGGAATTGCTGTATTTCAGCCTCCACACATGCCCAGTATTAGAAGTCTGCAGAACACTGCCTTTTCCTGTATAGCCTATGTGGGTTTTTTTACATGGGACATGGGTTCAGAGGCTATGGGAAATCCTGTGATGTGTTACTTCCCCTGCCCCACATGGTGGGGCTGGAGCCAGCTGTGAGGAGGAGGGGGACAGGGCACCACAACTGAGGACAGGGAGCCACATGCTGCCATTTGCATGGCTTATTGGCCAGACAGCCCCAGTAACCTGAGCGTTCCTGTGTCTAACCTGATCAATGCCCATCAACTAGGGCTGGTCCCTTTCATGTACCCAGATTCCTCTTGGTCTGGGGGCAAGGTGGGGGTTGATAGCTGTGTCAGCACATATATGAGATCTGGGTGTCAAGGAGAAACTGGCCTCCAAATCTGAGTACAAAGTTGCTGCTGACCTTGTCCCCCCATATCATCCAGCCCTCGCTTACCATGTCCCATGGCCATGCAGTGGGGGAGTCACATGGCACATGCCTGGCTACCCTGGGGCAGTAATTTGGCTATTTAGAGCTGGCCCATTGGAGGGCTGTGGCACCTCCATGGCAAAACAGAGACATGACACAAAGATATTTTTCCTCTGCTCCATCCTCCTTTGTCATCCTAGGGCAAGCTGTGGCCCCTGTAAAGTTCCTGGGACTGTTCCCTCTCTGTGGCTCTGTGGCAGCAGTGCCACATGGACATGGACAGTGGCTGCAGTGCCACATGGACAGTGGCACCATGGACATTTGCCAGGCAGAGAAGGCTTACAGGGGCTGGGGGACTCGGAGTCAAGCTACAAATCTCCTTTTCTTATTGCATTGTATTGCACAGCTCGTTTGAACCTGAATGATGTTGCAAAGCAACCCCGCCTGAATATACTCAACAACGCTGCCACAGCTCTCATCTTCATCACAGTCATCCTCAACATCTTCATCACAGCCTTTGGAGTGCAGAAGACTGGCCTCTACCCTACCAGGAATTTTCGACCTTATTAAGTCATGGGGCAATGGAGTCAGGTAAGAAAGGGGTGAGTTCCCATCACTGCTAGCCCGTGGAAGGTCTCTCAGTGTCAGAAAACATCATTGCAAGGCGGAGAGGGAGAAGGCAAAGCTGAACAAATTAACAAAGTCTTTTCAGGGGCATGTTGCTGTCCTACAAGCATCTGGGGCCACTGAACAAATGCCCTCAGAGAAGGAGGATTAAAGACCTTGCTTGATATTTAAAGCAAGAACATCAAATATCTCAACTGCTGAGATTTATCAGCAGCTAGTGGTTTCCAGAAGGCTGCAGACCTCATGTTAGATACAGATAGGAGTTGTGGATGGGAGCTAAATTTGGGAAAGAAAACTAGGTGTGTTCTGGGAGGTATCCAAAGATGGCAGCACTACCTGAGCAGAAGAAAAGGAAGGGGCTGGTGACGTGGGCATGAAAGAGCTCTTCACAACAGCCAGTGTGGTTTGCAGGGGCTGTTTTCAGAATCTAACTCTCATTTTCAATAGAGAGTCTTTTGAATAAGAATCCAACCAAATGCTTGGATTCCCATGTCAGGTCACACCAGGAAATGACAGTTCTGAGGTCAAAAGTGCTTTAGGTTAAGAAGCAAAGTTCACATCTCTTGTTTACATGACCTGCAACGTGTAAACACAGTTTAAATGCAATATACTGCAGCAACAGCCAGCATGAAAACTTGATAGACACATGGTATGATGAGGGAGGATGCAAAGGCCAAAAGCCTCCACAAAACCACTGCTGGCTTGGAATCCAGAAGGGTGCAAGTGCTGAAGAGTAGCACCCCACACCCGTAGGGGTAGCCATGGTGCGGAGTGACCCAGTATACTATGACTGCTCCTCTCTGCCTGGCAGTGAAGAAGAGCCTGCTGCGACCTTACTGGCATTTCTTGTCTTCCCTGCAGGACCTGAGCAGTGCGGCTGGCAGGGAAAGCTCTCCTCCTCCATGTTTTCATTGGCCTCACCAGGAGCCCATTGATGAATCCAGAGAACTGGGTTAAACTTCCAAAACTGTGTGCGTGTCATGATATACCAGCCCCTTACCGTAATGCTTTTGCAGTTCTGAAGGGGTGAAAACATTGCCTTTCAAAGCTAGAGCAAGCTTTGCTAGAGGAAGCTGCAGGAACAGCAGCAGGTACACAATTTCAAAGCACAGTTCTGTAAATCTCATCTCTTATTTTAGTTGCCTGCTTCACATATTCAATATTGGCTCATTTTGTAGAGAAAACTAAATGATTTACTTTGTAGGCTAAATAAACAAGAAAAGTCCAGCTTTTTTGTGTCATGCATAAGTTGCTATAAAGCAATGCTATCCAATAGTTTACCTCCCAAATGTTGAAATGGATTTCTCAAACAACAAAAAAAAAGTTGTTCTCATGGAAGGACAGAAAAGTGTGTGTATGTCAACGCAGCTAAATCCAGTTCAAATGTTTTCCCAGTTGTTTCAAATTAAATGCAACACAGTTAAGAAAACAATCAGTTATTTCCAGCATTGGAAAATTAACAATGACAGAAAATAGATATTATGGTCTGATGTCATTGCCAGGGACCTATCAGGAATGATGTCAGAATAGTCTGACAATATTTGGTAGAAAATGAAGAAACATTATACGTAAGGAGACACTCTCGGCTTATTGCCACAATGAGAAATGACAGGTGCATAGTGTATTACTTTATTATACAAAAAAATAAGGTCTTATCACTAACATACATGTTTTTAAATATATGATTTTTAGATTGACAATGCTGGGAATTCTCTTGTACTAGACCAATTTGTTTCTGTTAAAAAAAGTCTTTGAATTAAGATTTTTCAGATTTTTTTTGAAAAAGTTTTCTATCCTAAATTTTTTAACTCTGTAGTTATGCTAAAAAATTGGTATTTTAATAGCCTGGTGTAAACCTATTTAAATAATGACATGCTTTTCTAGTTATTAAATAATTTTTTCATTGTACAGCAAAATCAGAGTTCAATATGGATTTTTCATTTTGCATACTCTTTCCATGACTGAGAAAGAAATGTCACAAAAACATCCACATATTGGTCTTCAGGGGCTACTGGGAGTGTCTGACACTTAAAAAACCCAGATACAGGCAGATTTCATTTGTACTCTGTGTTTGACTTTACAGAATTAAATTTCTGTTTAAGCCACTCATGGTGCATTTTTGCTGGAGAGGGTGTTTTTTTTCTGATCTTGCCCATAAAGGCTGGTGGGTGAGGCTACAGACCAGCCATCTAGTACTTGCAAAAGACAGTAGCTTTTTTTGCAGCTGAAGGGAAGTTACATAGAAAGAGTAGAGTGGAAAATGTCAGTTATGCATTTACCAGAATTTAAATCAACAAAGTTGAGCACAGTCTGGGATCTGTTTGACGAAGCAGGCAAAGACTTGTTGTCCACTTTGTCCCTGGAGTGACATTGAGTTTGCTGCTTCTCTCAGTCCTCAGTCTCTGCTGAGACTAACAGCAAACAGGGATGAGTGTTTCTGGGAAGCCTCTGTTACTCTGCTCTCCTCTAGAAACAGACTTCACTGTAAAGGCAGCAAAACTAATGGCAGCCAATGTAAAACCACCAGCTAAGGGCTTTCAGCCACTACTTGCCGGCTGGGTTCATGAAAAGGTAAAAAATTATGCATCCCATGTGTGGATCCCAAATCCTGTGACTCATTGCTTCAGAGAGCAGGAGGCAAAGCAATTTGCATCGATGACCGAATATAAAGAGAGGAAAGAAAAAGAAAAGGTTTAGCTGGGAAAGAAGCAGTGAGGTGAATTTCATTTCCAGATCTTAACTCCAACATCGCTGTCTCCGAGAGCTGCCAGGTCAGGTAGAATGGCGTGCGAAGCCTGCCTGAGCAGAGAGGGCTTCCCGTCACCCAGCCCAGGCGAGCAGAAGACCAGCAGCACACCGGAATGCTTTTTCCCCCTCGTCACCTTTAATAATGGTTTCTCATTATAATGGAATCAGACTCATTAGCAACCTTGGCTGCCTTTTTCCCCTCTCCATGTCTGACTCCCATTCCTGCCAAGCTTTTTATACTCAAAGGAGGCACAGCTGAAGTGAAAAGAGGCCAAATTTAAATCTACATAAGCAGTTGCTGTGAAAGCTGACCTCCCATGTGTGTAGGCTGTGCCAAGTACCAAGCTCAGGTCTAGGCTCTCTCCTGCGGTCTTCTCCAGGAATTGTCCCCCACTTGCGAGAGGGACCGATTTGTTCTTGGCATTCTCTCTCTAGGAGCACATTGCACTTGTGCTTTGCTGGGATGTGTATTTTTCCGGTGTTTCTACTTTGTTTCACATGATAAACCCGGGAAGCCAGGAGAAAAACTTTTACTGCCATTCCACTTCCTGTAGCCCTAGAGAGGACTGAAACAGGTCTTGCTCCTGGCTAACCTTGCTCACTGCATCTCCCACCCACCTCCTGCTGCAGGGCTCCTGTGGCTTGGGCAGAGTGACCTATCACTCTGGTATTGCCTACGCCTTCAGTTATATGAAGCCAGAGAAGCAACACCTGGTTTCTAATCCCTGCTGCATGGTGATGCGGGTTTGAGTAACACACAGACAGGACTGAGCTTTTGTAGGAAGACAATGTATTTATAAAACCTGAGGGAGAACTAGTATATCCCCCAGCTCTAATAGAAAGGTGGCCCAGGAGTCATTTTGAAGGCACAGAGCCACTTTAAGGCAGATAATTCAAAGGTACAATTCACGTTTTTAACCCAAGGCATTGTTATCTAAAACCCAATCAACTTCAGACATTTGTAGGCAATGAAAAGAGGTGAGACGTTCATACTGGGCAAACATTAAAAGACAATGACAAAACAAGTAACACAGTAATTTTCACACAATACATTTCTCAGAATAGAAGCCAGCCCTCCTTCATTCCCTTTGCTGACCTGTAAAACAAGCCTCAGCCCCACAATTCACAGTCCTGAAGATGGAGTCAGCATTTGTGGGCAGAGCTCCCTTGCCATGCACCCTGCACCTGGGGGCCCAGGGTCCCCAGACTGGCCACCTCTTGCCCCAGGGCTGGTCTCCGTGCAGCATGGCCTATCATCTCCCCAGATGCCCCAGCTGGAGAGCTGCCGGAGCAGCTCCCTCTTGCCTGCCTGCCTGATGCATGGGAAATTCCATGCAACCGATTTCCTCCTGCTGTTGAGGCAGGACACAGCCAGGATGCACACGAAGGCCAGGAACTCAGGGTAAACTTCATCACAAACTCAGGCACAGCTTCCTAAAACATCCTGGTGACAGAAATGACATAGACTGTTGGGGACAGTCAGTTTCCTGGGCATGGTGAAGCCGGGTTCTCTCTTGCTCTCTGGGAGCTGTGCCAGACCCAGAGGCGAGCCCTCCTCGCAGTGGCAGTGCACGCCGTGCATCACTAGTGATGGGCCGAACCACCTGCCGATCAGGGACCACTGTGGCCTGGCCACCACCCTGGATGGCCACGTCCTTTCACTGCATGGCTGTGGGACTACCTGTGGCTGCTGTGCTTCCTGCTCTCCCACTCCTCACGATTCTCTAGGGAGAAAAACTGCAGGTTGCTTTGGAAGAGGGGCAGCAGCCTCAGAGCCAAAGCCTGGTGCCACTCCTGCAAGATTTGCTGCTGGCTGCCAAGCTGGGGAGTGTGTAGCCTCTTCTCTCCCCACAACCTGCAGCGGTCTCTGTGCATGTGGGCTGGGAGGGGGCTTTTGTCCCCATGGGCTCTCTCCAAGCTTCTTCATGGAGGCTGCCAACTAGTACAATTAATATTAATCACATTAACTACTGCAATGCTTAAATACCAAGAATCCCCACTGTGCTAGAAGGGCAAGAACACATGGGATGGCAACTTTGACAGTGGGGATACTGGCCATCAGGAAACTCGACCGAAACCCACTAACTGCTTACATCTCCACCGTGGAGCCCTCATGAGGAAAACAGCTCTGCTTGCCACTGGCCTGAGTTACAAGGCATGAAGGAAAGAGCAAACTCACAGCTAAAGCATGGGGGTGAAATCCTCAAATTCTCCTGGCAGTGCTGGAGTGAGGGCTGCACCCTACTTTCCAGTCCATTCTTTGCTGTCCTCTCTGGTGAGGAAGAGGGGTTACTCATATCATTTAAGCCAAGTGAGTTACCTTCTGGATGCATCTAATGCTTGCCAGTGTCTGCAGATGAACACTAGCTGCTAACTTTAGGTGCTGCACACCACATCTAAGCCAGATGTGAAAGCACACAGTATAAATAACCCTCCCTCCCTGTGCATGATGTAAAGGGCCACCACCAAATCCATTACCTCTCCATCTGCAAAATGGGCATCATGCTGTTCTCTGCTCAATGGGGCCAAAGAGCCAGGTCCTGCTAATGCCTCACTGCACCCCAGTGCTCACCCTCGCTGCCAGCCTCTCCCCATTCCACAGGGATTGCGTGACAGAGCCAGCCCAAACAGGCTGTGGAGGCACAGTCCTGGAGCCTGAAGAGCAGCTCACCTGCATACTTGCAGGGTTGTGCCTGTGTTTGAGTGAAGCACAGGCTCTGACATGCACCAAGAGCATGACTGACACTGCACATTCCAGGCAGAAACAGAGCTTATTGCATCATTGCATCACAGGGCTCTGGCCTCCTAAACTCCTATAATACATTTTTTTAAAAAGAATAGAGTTGACTGTTGTCAGCCTCTTCCCTCTTGCCCCAACTGCAGTGTTTCATTTCTTAGTCACTATACGGGTAAAGTACTTTCCCTCAATAAAAAAGACTGCTCTGGCTTGGGCAGAAGGCTAAGGCTGCCTCTTCTGAGAGATTCTGGCAAAGGCTCTGTGGACTCAGAGACACAGCCATCTCTTGTTTACTCACCATAGCTGCACACTGTACAGTGAAACTTTCTGAATTCTGGTTGTCTTTTTCTGACTTCATCATCACAAAATCCAGACTGAGGCAAGCAGATGATTTGACAAGATCTTTATCGCACGTGCCAGAACTTGCATGTTCAGTTTTCTACTGCAATAGTGGAACTTGATGGACTTGTCAAGCACCACAATTAATAAATGAAGGCCTATTCTGAATTAGCATCCACACCATCAGCGTAAAAAGCAACAACTCAAGTACCATGTCAGCAATGCTTGTATCCTGCATACCTCTATTACTCGGTTCTCAACAACTCTCCACAGAGCTGGGCACCATGAGCAGCATCCCATCAGGCTCTTCCCTGAAGTTTGAGATCAAGTAGCAGCCTTTTCAGCACAGTATGGGGACACCGAAGGTCCAGTGGAGAGCACTGACTGTACTGGGATATCTGGGCTTCTATTGTCCTCTAAAATGGTTACAGGGGCAAATAATCTTGCCTTACATCAATGGGAGTTTTAGGGGATGAGAATTTCCAGTAGCATCAGGCTGGCTGTGAACGGGGGCTCTTTCCACAGTTCTTAGATCTTGC